TGATAATAATAACTAATATTTAATGATAATAATTAATATTTTATATTATTTAACACATTTTCTAATGTTACATAAAGAGTAAAAAAAAGCTAAAAAAAATCAAATAATAATAATAATAATAATAATAATAATAATAACAATAATAATAATAAAATAATGCGATAATAATAATAATAATAATAATAATAATAGTAGTAATATTAATAATAATGCGATGATAATAATAATAATAAAAAAAAAATAATGCGATAATAATAATAATAACAATAATAATAATAATGTGATAATAATAATAATAATAATAAATAATTAATGATAATATGCGTTAATAATAATAATAATAATAATAATAATAATAATAATAAAATCTTTTTTGCTCTGCTCTACTGAAATCTGCTCTGTTTTATCTTGCCCAGAAGCTAAAAAGAATAGGGCCTTATTATATGATAGTAGAGGTGTCCACCGTGCGAGTCGTGCGAGCTGGGTTAGGGTTAGGTGGGTCGCGGGTTGGGGTTTCATGACACACGGCACGACACACGTAGGGTAGGGTGGGCCGGGTCGTGGGTTGGGTCGGAGAAGTTGGACACACCAGGGTTAGGTTCGTGGGTTAGACGAGTCGTGGGTGGGTCGAGCTGGGTTTGTGGGTTAGACGGATCGTGGGTGGGTCGAGCTGGGTTTGTGGGTTAGACGGGTCATGGGTGGGTCGAGCTAGGTTCGTGGGTTAGACGGGTCAAGGTGGGTTAGTGAGTTAGGGTGGGTCGAAGGGTGGGTTAGTGGGTTAGGGTCGGGTGGGTTTGTGGGTTAGGTGGGTTAGGGTCGGGTGGGTTAGTGGGTTAGGGTCGGGTGGGTTTGTGGGTTAGGTGGGTTAGGGTCGGGTGGGTTTGTGGGTTAGGTGGGTTAGGGTCGGGTGGGTTAGTGGGTTAGGGTCGGGTGGGTTTGTGGGTTAGGTGGGTTAGGGTCGGGTGGGTTTGTGGGTTAGGGTCGGGTGGGTTCGTGGGTTAGGGTCGGGTGGGTTGTGTGGTGTTTTAATTTTTACAAAATTAACAATTTGATGGCTTGCTCTTAATTAAGATGCCTACGTATCCTTATATTATAAAATAAGGAATCAAAGCCAGCGTAGTTCTTATATTGTACTTCTTTTGAAATTTGGGGGGGGGGGCTTGGACCTATCTTTAGAAAACTAAAATTTAATTTTGCAATTAAATTGTAATTTTCGAAAAATAAGTTGCCTACGTATCCCGAAAGAATCAAAGCCCATGTAGTTCTTAGCGTACCTGATTTAGACTTTTCTAGCCACCCATGTTTGTTGCATCATCATCCCCGGAAGCTGCATCATCCGTTGACGACTCCAATATCATCACAGGATCATCTTCATCGTCTTCGTCTTCCTTTAAACCTTGAGTTCTTCTTTCAGCTTGATCCCAATCTTTCTTACAAACACAAATTTGAATGCTTTCCGGAGTTAAGCGAGATCTTTTTTCATCTAACACTCTTCTACCTGCACTAAAAGCAGACTCGGAAGCAACAGATGAAGCGGGAACTGCAAGTATATCTTTTGCAATTCTCGCCAATATAGGAAAACTTTTTTTATGTTCTTGCCACCATTTTATAATTTGAAAGTTGTTGTTGGTCTCATGTTGATATGACAAATAATCATTAATAGCAAGTGTTGAAGAAGATGATGATGAGAATGATGTAGATGCTTTGTGTTTTTTTTCATAACTTTATCAAGAAAACCAAAACTAGAATCGGAAGTGCTAGTAGTAGTTGGTGTTGCCAAATCAAAACCATAAATAGATGCATAATGATCATAAAGGTCTCCCAAAACAGATTTGCATTTGTTAATATATTCACTAACATCATAATCGATACTTAAACTTGTATAATAAAATTCTAAAAGATTTTCCAAACCTTCAGCTTTGACACCGGGGTCAAGAATAGCAGCAATTCCATAAATGATTGGAAATTCACTAAAATAAGTATGCCACTTACGTTTCATGCTATCAAGAACGGGACGAAGTCCATCAATCTTCATATGCTCTTCGATGGTGTGAACAACTTTAACACACTCAATTATGACTAAATGAACGTTAGGCTCATAAATATAAGAGAAAATATGAGTTGCACTATCAAAAGCATTTAAAACATCACGAACAAAAGAAGCATTAGTCCAATGACTTTCGGTTATTAACTCAGTAGGATCAACACGAGTCTCATTGTAAAGTTGGGTCAAAATATCACGATACTTTATAGCATCACTCAACAACTTGAAAGTAGAATTCCAACGGGTAGGGGTATCAATAGACCATTGTCTTTTCTTAAGACCTCTCTCTTTACACATAGCTATGTACTTTCTTCTAACTGACTGAGTAATCCTAATCCATTTTATAACTGTTCTAATTGGGTTTAGCAATGGTTGCAACTCAGCGAGACCCTCTTGAACAGACAAATTCAAAATATGAGCACAACATCTAACATGCAAGAGACTACCACCCAACAACAAATTCAACTCGGAGTCATTTTTCAAATAGTCAATACACTTTGTGTTTGCAGTTGCATTATCAAGAGACAAAGAAAAAACTTTATTATTCAAGTGAAATTCTTTTAAACAATCCAAAATACGAACTTTGATGTTAAAACCGGTATGCCTTTCTTCCATAGCTTGAAAACATAGTATACGTTTTTGAATAAACCAATCATCATCCACCCAATGAGCAGTAATGCAAAGAAAAGGTTCGCCAAAACTAGAAGTCCATGTATCACTTGTAAAACTAACACGACCATCAAAAGTACGAAATAATTCAATCAAACCACTCCTATACTTATAATAAGAAGTTTGTGTATAACGTCTTAGGGTATTTCGGGGGACACGAGTAAATGCAGGTTGTAATGCAACTTTATTAAAATGCTCAACGTTTGCATTTTCACCGTAACTAAAAGGGTATTCATTAGCAATAACTAAAGTACTCATTTCATCAATCATTCTATCTTTATTATAAATGAAAGGTGTACCTCCGCCGGGTTGGTTCATGTATCCACCCAATTGTGTTTGGACGCCACCCCCCGAAGGACGGGGGCCATTTTCGAACAAGTCGTGTTTATTTTGCAAATGCCGACTCAAGGTTCCGGTTCCATCTCCCGTTTTCCAATTATATGACTTGACATTTGCACCTAGCGCCTTGCAAACTAGGCATGTACACGTGAACCTCTTTGGTTGACCAGGTTGCCATCCCGGGGGTGTGACCTCAACTCGTTCAAAATGTTTCCACACCCAAGAAAAATGTGCTCGACCTCTACTTTCACCGCCACCACCTTTCATAAATCAAATTATTAAAATTAATTTTTAAATGCTATTCATGAAAATAAGCTTTTAAATTTTAAATATTTTAATTATACTTATTTAAACGCATTTTTCATGGTAATTAACTAATTGTAAATCATAGAAAATTGGAAACTAAACTAACTTTATAATCATTAATAATAGTTTTTTTAAATATTCATAACAATAAAAATTTAATTAGAAATTACCTTGAGATGAAGGTTGAGATGTTGGTTGCGATGGAGGTGGCATAGTTGAACTTGATGATTGGTGGGACTCGTGGGAGAAATGTTGTGGTGGAGACGTTTGAATATTTTGCCTATCTCCTAAACCATAATCTCCATATTCATTGACAAATTGGTTTAAATTTTCCGTATTAATTTCATACGAAAAATTTGCACCACCACTCCTTTGGTTACCACTTCGACCACCACTTTGACTCCTTCCCATTCCTCCTCTTGAGCTCATTTTTTTTTTGTATGATTACTAATTATAATATGGAGAAGAACTTTTTTTTTTTAGAATCTTAAGAATACTAATAATAATATTAAGGAGATTTTTTTTAACAAAAATATAACTCTATATAACACTTGAGAATTTGAGAACAATAAGAATTTTTAAGTAAGAGAGAAAGAAAGCTTGAATTTGTGTGGAAATTTGAGTGAAATGGAATTGGTATTTATAGGAAAAATAGAATGGATGATCATACACTTAAAAAACTAGCCGTTAGATACAAAAAACTAGCCGTTAGATACAAAAAACTAGCCGTTTTTTTTTTTAAAATGGATGTTAGGCCGTGCGAATTGTGCGGGCTGTGCGGGCCGTGCGGGTTGTGCGGGCCGTGCGGGTCGTGCGAATTGTGCGGGTTGTGCGGGCCGTGCGGGTTGTGCCGGCCGTGCGGGTTGGGTGGGTCATGCGTGCGGGTTGGGTGGGTCATGCGTGCGGGTTAGGTGGGTTGGCTCGTGCGGGTTGGGTGGGTCATTCGTGCGGGTGGGCCGTGCGGGCTGGGTTGTGCCAGGTGGGTCGGGTTAGGTGGGTTCACGGGCTAGGTGTGTCGAATTAAATGAGTCAAAACGGGTTGTGCGATTTGGGTCGAATCAAACGGGTTAAACTGAGTTGGGTTGAAATGGGTTGTGTCGAAAATTTTGGACCCACGACACAACCCAGATTAAATCCGAGCTGTGCCGGGCTGTGCCGGATTGAAACCGGGTCGGACCCACGTGACCCACCAGCCGTGCGAGTTAGGGTGGGCTGGGTCCAACCCGGCCCACTGGCCACCTCTATATGATAGACTTAATCAAGATTTGATTTGATAAGATTTGATATATGCTCCTCAAATCACATTCTTAATGTGTTATAAATCCATGACCAATAATGCTTAAAGTAGGGTCCAAATGTCAAACTAGAACAAAAAGAGAAAAGAGGAGGTAGATAATAAAATAATCATTAAACACCTCTCTCATATTGACACGTGTCATAATAATAGGTAATGCAAGAATATGGTGCTCCAAATAATGATATTGATAATCATAAATCCACACAGTTGTACTGTAGGACATGATTACCCCACAATTTTATTGAAAATTCCACACATCTCCCTCATGTTTTTATTTATTTTTAAATTTCACTCGTATTATTTAAATTTTTAAATTTTTTCTATTTGAAAATAATTTTCACTACAAAATTCACTCAGTCACACTCACAGAGTGTACTTCTCATTCCGCTGTACACACTCTCAAGGCTCAACCTCTTGAGATCATCACCATTAAAACCCCCAACTCCCCCAAAATATAAAACCCTAATTTGTCAAACAATTTATTAGATTCATGTGAATTCACTGCCCAACTTCCACCAATTCAATTCATAAACCTTTAAAACCCAATTATATCTTTCCTTAAACTTTCTCTCTCCAACCCCTTCAAAAACCCTCATTTTTAGATCTGATCAGCAACAAAAATGGCAACTTTTACTACTTTGATTGTTTTCTCTTTAACACTGCTGTTCTTCAATTCCGACAATTTCAAGCTTACCCATGTAAGTTTTCTTGTAAACCCACTTGTAACTTGAGTTTAATTTTTCAGGGTATTTCTCCAATTTTGATTCCCACTTGTAATTTGAGTTTAATTTTTCTGGGGTTTTCTCAAAATTTAATTTTTTTTCTTGCTATTTTTTAGGCAAATGAATTGTGTACCTCTTCAAATTCTGGGAATATGACAAATGCAATTGAAGAACAGGGGATGAAATTATACCCATTGATTGATAAAGATAGAGAGGAGAAGATGATGGTGATGAATGAAACAAGAAGAAAACTTGGAAGTTTCCAGATTTGTGCGCCTTGCACTTGTTGTGGAGCTAAAGGTTATTGCTTACCTTCACCTTGTTGCTATGCTATCAATTGCAACATACCAAATAGGCCCTTTGGATTTTGTTCTTTCACTCCTAAGGTTTGTAATTGCTTTGGTTGCCATATTTAAAACCCCTAAGGGTTAACCCGACTCAAATCGGAATTAGTCGGAGTCTAGTAGGCTCCGGATTAATTTATATAATTAAAAGAAAAAAAAAATTACTCCTTAATTTTGGAGGGTCTAAATATGAATCCTGTTGGAAAGTGTGAATGGGAAAAATATCTGTGTTCTAGCTATGTCTTTTTTTTAAAAAAAACCAATTAATGTTTATTATGCTCATTGTTATACTGGGACAGCTATTTCCAGGTAAGGTTTTGCTACTTCTTATGATTTTTGTCAGTCTGTCTGATCAATTTCTTGGGAATTGGTGAAAAAAAATTTGACCCTTAAGAAAGTTAGATTTTTTTTCTTAAAAAAAAAAAAAAAAAAAAAAAAGTAGCAAAAGTTTGCTTGGAAAAAGCAATGACCCAAAGATTTAGCCGTAGATTAGTTTTATATTAGTAGTAATTGATTAAGGTGCATAGTGGAGATAGTGATTAATGTAATTGTGGATACAAGTTTATGATATTTGTTTATGTATTGTTTCTTATTACTTTGATGTTAGAATCTTTGTAGTGGACTAAAAAGAAGATTGATTGTAATTATATATAGTCCCATTAGTTGACCTTTATTCTCTGCTTCTCCCCTTTGTTCAATTTTGTTTCTTCTTTTTGTACATTGTTGTCTTTTATAACAAGGTTTTGTCCCACTAGATTATGAAGAAAGTGAGCTTATAGCTTAAAGAACAATCTTTAGATTGTTAAGAAAGTACTTCAGCTTGTCGCGCTCTAAAGAAAGATGTAAATCGTCTCCTAGCCAAGGACGAAACATTATAAGGACGAAATAATGTGTAATTTTATCATGAACTCCAAACTTGACAAAACTTTAGGTTAGGTGTACAATGAAACCTTTAAACAAATTATATAATGCTTTAATCACAAAAGATAAAAACAAAACATCAACAACAAGATTGAGGAGTCAACTTTATTTTTTATAATTGTCAAATTGAGGGGACAAGTATTGATATGGTATTAAAGATGTTTTGTTTTATTTGTACTCTTGTAAATTATCCAATTGCTTGGAAAAAGTATTGCTTGGAGATGTTCAATGCTTTGCCTGGTAACCGTAGTACGAGTGGTATGGTGCGAGTATATGGTAATAAACAGAGTACAAACATTCATTTCAGCAAAATATGTTCATATGCTAGATCTTTATGAGTAGGTCATTAATGTCAAATCTAAGTGTAAAATTCTCTTACTTGTATTCTTTTCTTCCAATGTAAGAAAAATGAAAAAAAGGTTCTATATATGGACATCGGGACGTGTTATTGACTTGTTACCGGTTGCTCTTTTTGTTCGAAGTAGTTTTATGTTGAAAGTGTCCGATTCCAAAACATAAAGCTTACCTCGGTGCAGAGGTAAGAACTTGTCCCTTGGCAACCTATGGGATCAAGTTCTATTAGGGACGCTTTGAGAGTGGAATTTCCTTACCTTCTCTTCGCTTCTCTTTATGTCCCACTCTCACGATGCTCGATGGGTATAGTGTTTGTCCAATTATTGTGGTATATGTTTATGATGGTGACTAGAGTCAATGTGGTTGCATGAAGTACTAGTGTAGGTGATGGCATTTATGGTTGGATGGGTGGTTCGAGGGAGGGGGGTTTGGGCTTCAAATGACCATACTAAACTAATGTTTCTTTTAATTACATACATTGACTTAGTTTTGGGCTCTGTGCTTTAAATGATTATATTTATCAAAGAACTCATATTTCAACAAGAGTTTTAATTAATGCAGACTTATTTATAACTTTTATGTTTTTCATGCATGAAAAATTATGTACGCAGTATTTTCCAAAAAAAAAAAAAAAAGAAGTATTTTAATTAGGATATACATATACTACTAGTCTACTAGTCCATATGATACTTGGACTCTTGGAGCATAGGATTAGTGTATATATGTTATTTTCATGAACTGAAATTAACTGAACTTATTATATCTTAAATAAATAAAAATAAGGTGAATAAATTAGGCCCAAAGTCATCATCACTTTTCCATACGAAGTACTACAATTTTATTTCCTGAACATGGTTAGACAACCTATAATCCTTGTTGATGAATCTATATCTGTTTTTGGTCCAATTTTGATCTATTTGGGCCATGGGATGGCCCATGACAAAGTTCTTATTTAATTTTTCATTGTTCACAACTCACAAGGATTGTGACATTCAACTCACTATTTAAGTGTTCTAAGGGCAGCCTTAAGGGTGAACAAAAAAATAGTTCACAATGAGTGAACAAGTGAATGGGTGGCTTAATGGTGATCTCTATAATTGTTCATAGTGAATGGTTGTGGGATCGATTGCTGCTGCAAGCATTTGGACGAATTTATGGATTGTGGGCCCCACCCATTTTTATTTTTTTCAGGAAAAAAATAGAAAGCAGCGGCTGGGAGCGCGCCACTTGGCCCAGCCGCTGCTTGACACGTGTCACTGTTTTAAATAAATTCGTTGTAATTTTGCAACGGATATATTTTACAAAACACAAATAAAAAAAAAAAAAAATTACCAACGGCTCTATTTTTTTCCCCTCTATAAATAGACACCCATATTGCTATACTTTCTTCAACTTTGAAAACCCATTTCTTTCTACTATATTTTTCTCTTCAAAAATCCCCTCTATAATTACCAATATTATTATTATTATTATTATTATTATTATTATTATTATTATTATTATTATTATTATTATTATTATCTTTATTATTATTATTTCCTTTATTATTATTATCGTTATTATTATTATTTTTATTATTATTGTCGTTATTATTATTATTATTAAATTTTTATTTTTTCCAAATATAAATTATAATTATGGATGCTAATACCAACCCCAAAACAAATAGAAAGAAGAAAAAAAATTTGGGTCAAAATATGATCCTTCAAGCTCGTTTTGCCATTATTAAAAAGCCGTCTTTGGCGTGGGATACCGACATACTCCACAATATCATGCTCGCCTGCATCATAATACATAATATGATCGTTGAAGATGAACGAGAGACGTATCAAAATAACGTTAATACCAATGAGTTTATGAATGCTGGAAGCAACGCTAATGAGGACACTACCGAGTACCGTACTGATCGTATTGTGGATATCGGCTTATACTTGTCTCGTAGAACAGAGATTGAGGATCAACAGACTCATTTGCAGCTAAAAAACGACTTGGTCGAACATATATGGAATAAATTTGGTAACAACGAAAACTTAGGCAACTAGGTTTACAACAAATGGTTATCCCTAAGGACATCTTACAAAACGATGTGTAGTTGTTTTTTTTTTTTAAAATAAAATGTACTAGATTATAGTTGTAGAACTGTAATCACGATTTGTACCTCTTTTTTTTTTGTTAATTAAAATTAGCTGCGTTGTTGTTTAAAAAATATTAATCACAAGAATTAGTTTTTTAAAAAGCTGATAAAAAATGCGATAATTTCTTAATTAGTAATCACGATTAAAATATTAAATACGTCAATTAATTACATTGACATCGGGTTAATAAATTATAATTATGAAACAAAAAAAGATTATATTTACAAAAATAAAATAAGGTGGGGTAGGGAGTATTGATGATGAACCATTGTTTAGTGTTCATTGTTAAGAGTGAATATTGTAAATGGTTTGTTGGGTTGATGTGGATGAGAGAGAAATGGTGATAGTGACCCATGGACCATTTATTACTTCAATAAATATCCATTTTGCTTTAAACAATGGCAAAAAATAAACATCATTTACTTATTTTTCCCTAGGGTGAAGAGATGCTTGAAAATCGTACATTAAAGAATGGTCGATAAAAGATCGATTTTAATTTTTAACCTTGAATTATGGAATGAAGTCAACCAATTAAGGCCAGAAAAATGACAATTCATTCAAAACCATTTAACTTTTAATCACTTTCAATTCGACATATAAATAGTTTTAGCTTTAGACATCAAAGTGACATTATTTTTTCAAAGTAACAATACATCAAAGACTATGCGAAATAATTAGAGATTTAAAAAGAGGTTATCTATCATTTTTAGTGTTCCACCATAAATGATCTCATCATCTATAAATCTATAATTATGCCAAATTATTTAAATTTGATATGATCTATATTTTATGTGTCTAATAGAAAAAGAGGTGCACTATATAATATAGACATCATATGATCTCAAGATTCTCAACCCTCTAGCTAAGAATGAACTACTCAACGGCGATCCCAAATGTTTAGGTAGTAATTTCATTGATTTCTAGCATAATATTGCCAAAAATTTGTCACGAATTTTTTATTTTAAAGGAAAAGGAAATTTCTTCATACAATTGAAGAGTGCAATTGTTTTACTAAGCTAAAGTGGGGACTAAAAAAAAGATAGTCGCCAAACTCCAAAATATTAATCGGTGGAGTGGGTAGTGAGTTAAATGAGTTTGTTGAAAAATTAAAGTATTAGAAATATCCAACTTTCCCTTTTTCTTGTGCTATTTCGTTAGCTCTTCATTAATGTACTTCGTACTTTTATAACGAACGAAACATAACATATGAATACATTATCCTTCATTCATTTTTTAAAAAATGTTTTGAGTATTATTCATTACCACATAAATTATTTAAATTAATATTTATATGGTGTTTGATCCATTCGAAAATAATATTGTATAGTATATCATCTTATCCACGTCGAAAAAATTGTTCATAAGATATGCTTTGCAAGTGGCAAGAAGGCTTGGGTTTGCTCGAATTGAAGTGGAGAGCGATGCACTTAATGTTGTTCATGCTGTGAAAGATGGCGAACTGTGGAATGACTCCTACTTCGTATTCACTTAGTTTATGACGATATTAGAAATTATAGCATGTTGTTTGATGTGTGTACTTTTGCTCATATTAAAAGATCATGTTAACGGTGGCTCATCTAATGGCAAGGTGGGAAATCGGTGAGAATTATGAGCTTGTTCATTTAGGACCTTTCCCCCAAAGCATTATTTCTTTGGCGGATTTAGATCTCATTCAGTTATATAACAGTGCTATCTTTTAAGAAAAAAACCCTTGCAACACACGATAAACATTTATTGTACATTTGTAAAAGATGATATTAAATAGTTCGTATAATTATTAGATGATATAATAATTATACGAACTATTTTCGTGTTTCAATTCTCATCTTTTAAGGCGAACAAATAAAATTTAATAAAATATCATACTCCATATCATCATATCATAAGGAGTGTAGTACAAGCTGTTGTTTATTGACTTTTTTCTGGCAATTGGGACTCTTCATTAATGTACGAGTAGTCTATAGTTCTATACTTCTATACCAACATAAAGTCCATAAAATGCACATAAATTTACCTGATGAAGTCAATATTGTTCAGTTTAATTTACTTTAGTTTGACCATTCAGTGATCTGTTATGGTTGGATATAGTCATCAATAAACCATCAAAATTCTAGATGTGCTTTAATTGGCTGACCAACTTAACTCTCTAGCTCTTTATAGTTTTTCATTCCTAACCTTTTGCAGGAACTGTTCAACAGTTCAAAATATATATATATATATATATTTTTTTTTTCTTATAATCATATTCCTACTGGAGAATAAAAAAAACCCGAGCAAAAATGAAAACATAAAAGTCTTCTTGATACATCAAATGCCAAAACCGTTAATATATCAAAAACTTATCTTTTTATGAGATTCTCGCAGTTATTGATATAACTATGAAAATGTCATGTCGACTAAATATTATTGTTGATTTATTTACAGTTACTTTTTGTTTATCAAGGGGAAAAATACGCAACTAAAAAAAAAGAAAATTAAATACTGTGTACTTGGTTTAATAAACAACTTGGATGCAATTAAAATTTTATTGAACTGAAAACCCAAATGACAAAAATGTAGAAGCCACTAGGTCAATACAACATGATCAAAAATCCAAAATACACAACTTTTCTTTGGCATGATAGAATCATATCATGTATAGAGTTATAGACTATAGTTGTATACTTTATAATTCGTATATATATACGAAGTATTTACAACCCAGGCCAAGTATGGTACATAACTCAAACCCAGACAAGCTTACAAATCATGAAATGTATTTTGACTATTGTTATACATTGTATACAACTCTTCTGTACAAAAATGTTCTTTCATAGTTCGGTATTTAGCAGACTTCATTTCTGTGAATGCTATCTATGAACAACTAATATCTCCTTAATCTGTGTATATATAAAAAGCCTTTTGGTGTTGTGTACCTGTTACCGAGAGATTGGTTTTAATGGTTGTGGATAGGGATTTGTCCAGCATTCATCGGTTAGGACAGCTTTATCCCATCGCCTTCTGAAGACCTTGTATTCGTTATAAGATTGTCTCCTCACCTGAGAAGTATTGAAGAGTTCATTAAGCATCTAAAACTGCACTACAACTTTTGCTGCGAGAAAACAAACCAACCACACTGTATTTTTCGAGCTGTCAAAACTTTATGAATAGTTGTGTTACTCAAAACTCTTTATTTCGACATGTTACAGATGCTCAGACAACCAGAAAGATATCATAATGTTTTTAATCTACATACTATTCTAGTCCCTCAATGTAGAAAACTACAGCTATACTAGTCATGCTGCATGTTATCGCGATACTGCTATAAATTAGCAGAGATTCATCAATCATATAATATTATATATTGGTAAGTAGATAGATAGTAAAGCATTCATCCAGAAGACTTACTTCAACCCGCTTGTCAAGCACGTGGAGTTGGGGCTGCATGAGAAAAACGGCAAAATGGTTAGATACATTAAGTGACCCTTCCCAACAAGATTAGAAAACTAGTTCTGCAGCTCCACATAGTTTTGCATGAAAATACTAATCAACTAGACAATTACTTCACAACCCGAGGGATGAAGTCATGAAGAATAGGTTATTGTGAATACACTATTGCTCACCTTTTTTCCTAGCGGCTCCCCTAGTGTAGGCAGGCCATAATGTATCACATACTCAGCATCTACAACCCCAATTTTTTTGGTTCGATCTCCCTGTGAATAGCAAATAAAAAACCTATAATTATACCGAGGAAAATGCACAAAATAAAGTGCGACAAATAATGAACACCAAAGACTTGCCTGTGCACAATATCCCAGCTGCATGTCCAAACCCCAAGCATGGATCAAGTCATTCTGCAAAACACATTGGATTAAAACATGAACAATGCCAAAGCATGTTTTGTGAAGGAAAATTCAATACCTCTACACACAGCAGGCAAGTTTATAAACTAATTAATTATACTGCATTACTGCCTCATTAACTTTTCTTTAATAGCACATTGATAAGATTGGAAATACAAACACTTCAACAAAACTTTGTGATGAGATTTCAAAAGCAATATTATATCATGTATAATTAGGAGATAGTGAGATACCCTAAATTCCTTGGGTAAAAAAAAAGAGAGAGAGAGATCCCATAAATTCTAGAGATATTAGCTGCAGATCATAGGAAAGACAAACCTGAATCATGTACCATACACAACGCCATGCTGCTCGAGAGAACACTGGAGCCATGACTTCTATCCACCTGCAACACATCAAAAGTCTTATTCGGCTCTTTACTCCCTGAATATATTATATAGTTTAAGGAGTGCCACGATAATTATTCTAGCTAGCTAGTTTCTCTTATCCTTTTAAGGTAGAGAAATAATTACCCTGTACAAGGAGGACCAGAACTGTCTTCATCGCATTCATTATGCTTGTATGTTCTCCTACAAAGCATATAATAGCTTCAAGTTATCTTACAACCAAAAAAAAAAAAAAAAAAAAAAAAAAACCCCGCTTTGCAATGTATGTTCATTTGTCAGCTCAAAACATAGCAGATCCAGAGTTGATTAAGCAGAGAGTGAAGTAATGTAGAATTGATGCAAAAGAGTTGGAAATGTATCAGATTAATTGTGCAGGCAGAAACGTAAGCGACCAAAGCTATGACTGCACATCAAGATGCCAAAGTAACACAAAAATTACCTGTGAACTTTTCCTCTCCTTCCCCGAGATGTAATCTGGTGATGCACCTCTGATCTGTTACCATCAAGTGCTGGCTGGGAGATTTCAAGACCCTCCTCTTTAACGATAGATACATACCTACATTAAATATATAAAGGCATTAAAAGCAACCCAATAAGGATTAAATGGTGTCAATCTAAAAACTTAGCAAATGCAAAACGGATGGAAAAAAAAATATACACAGCAAAGGGAAGCATGGCAAAATTTTGCATTATTACATCATATTCTAACAAGTAGATATGCGGCTTGACAAGGAAAATTAAATGCATGCACTTAACCTTAAATGCACATCAAGCTTGTGTTTCTATGACAACATTGACAAGATTGACAACCTACAAGATGATCATAAGGCTGTTATCAACTTCTTCAAATTAGCAGCTTATGTCTCACGTCTCACCCAAATTCGAAAACCAAAGATTTTTGATTAAGTGGTAGGAAATGACTTTAATCATCTTGCAGAAGAATGAAACTACTTACTACTGTATTTGACATTTTTGATGTAATAACTTTGGCTCATAGTCTAACAAATAAGCATAAAATTATAATTCACTCAATCACAGAATCATAATAATCATCTAAATGAGATTTCATCATAAAAAATTAGTACATGCTTTACACATGTGCAGGAATGCAGGATGGTACACACCTTAAAGGATCAAAATAGTCTACTCCAATATCTTCATCCCAGAGAAAAACATATTCATAGGCAGCAACTACATCTGGGTGCATGAATCGCTTTGCAAACCACCTATATCACCATAAAAGACCTGAGCCAAGTCAGGATATAAGCAATTAATCTGATATTAAAGACAATGAACATTATCCATGCCAAAAAGAAGCTAAAGGGTAGCTATCACATTAAAACAAGCATGATACGACAAGGGTGATACCATTTAGTTTGATTGATTGCAGATATGTGTATGACCCGATCATTCCACGTAAAATCCTTCCATTGATCAAGTTTACCATCGTAATGGAAAAGCATCACAGAAAAACCCCTCGAGAGAAACTGAAATACCACATGAAAAGAAGTAGTATGTTATGGGCGACACCTATGCTAGAGCAGTAAGCCAGCAAGAGCACGGTTGCAGATGATAATTACCTTTCTAACCATTGCATTCACAAGTTGTTTTTGCTTAATCCCAACAGCAACTGCCAGCAAACTCAGTGATGAGTTACTTTTCTGTTCAAGCAAACTTAGAATTGATCAAATATTCCACAAAAAAGAGTGAGCATAGTGAAAAATACACCATGATTGGAATGATAAAAGCTTTCAGCTAAATAAGTAAAACTCTAAATTGCTAGCTGTTAGCTGACAGTTGCCTAAATTGGCTGAATAAGACTTCAACCCTTGTTACTTGGTTGACAGTTAGTGAAATAGCCTCACTAACTAAACATGCATATGAAAAAAAGGAAAGGAAACATAATTTACCTCTGGAAGGCCCCATAGTGGTCGCATTTCCAAGTTAGAATTCTTCGCAACAATACCTTGAGGCAATGACTCGCTTCCACGAGGTCTGCACTGATTCTAAAATATGAAGGAAAAAAAAAATAATAAGATAAAAGGCACACAGTCTATTATTATCTGGATAGGAAGGAAAACAGACCTCACATCTATTGCCAAGCAATAGGTCCATACTTCCAGCTAGCCCCATTTTTGGAGTATCCTGCACAGGAAGACAAGGTTATTCAGGTGTTGCTAGTCTTGCTACACATTGTTGGTTGCAAAAATCAAAAGAAAGCCGAAATTTATCTCTAGGAAGTTCAACTTATAAAAACATGTAGTATTTGGTGGACAGATCATACCTGTCTGTAAACTGGTAGAATAAAAACACTCCCTATCAAGTAAATTAGGACAACTGCAGCAGCTGCTTGAAAAATACTGCAAATACATGACCTTCGGCTTTTTGTATCAGGAAACATTGCAATCTGCATTTATCATAATATCATCAATCTCATGTAAAGGAAGAAAGCTAGTATGAATGTCCTGGTGCAGACTCAGAAGAATTTATTATTCCACCCTTAGCATACAAAGATTACAAACATACTAAGATACAACAACATTTTTTATCGTTTCACAATGAATCCTATTTTACCCACGACGAGTACACAATCCAAACAGACCAAACTTTATAATATCAAATCAGGCTCTAGAAGAAAGAATATAGCTTATTTTCCCTATTTTAACGATAACTAAGGTTTAGGATTTACATGTATTGCTGAAGAAGTGTCAAAGACTTCTTCAGCAATGATGTCCACATGCCACTGAGGTTAGCTACTTCATAACATATATCTCATTGGGATAATTCACAATAAGGAAGTTCTTCTCCTAAAACATACGGAGTACTACATAAGGCCGACAAGGGCAAATTATAAGATGCGCCTAAGATTAAGCGCTCCTAGATGATGTAGCAACAATGCAAAAGGGAGAAAGGGGGTCAATCATCTAGGAGGTGCTATAGAAGATGAGAGCATAACTATATCAGTCCTAACTCCTAAGACATGTGGCACTAATCACTCTGAAACAAGCATAGGCATCATACCAATCACAGGATTCGCAGCTCACAAATAACCATGAGCTATAGGTCCTCATATGCATCAAGGTGCTCATTATATTCGCATTTTCGCAGAAACTACAGCTGAACATCACAGAAAAACAATAGATTGTCTACTTGTCTGATTACAAACGAAGCTGATTTTCTAGCATGATCAGTTGAACTTTGACTTAGTCTCATAAGCAAAACTCATTCTTGCAGCATCATAAACTAATAAACCCTATCTAGTACTCAATAAACATCCTTCATCAATCGAAATTAGAGGCAGTTAATCATCAAAACAGAATTCTGCAACCTGATTAACCAAAATTTTCACTTTTCAGACAATTTTAACAAAGTAATAGACATTGTTTTGACATTTTCAAAGTAGAAATGAATAAAAAAAAAAAAAAGTATTCATCATCAAACAACTACAAATTATAAATTGTAAAAAAAAAACCTGGTAATAATATAATCATCAATTACATAACAAGCAATATAAACATGTTAATAAACAATTAAAATATCATTCCTTACATATATTATTAAATTAAATTTAAAAAAACCAATAATAGAATAATGTAGAAAAGTACTTACGTTTTTGGCAGCCATTTTTGTCTTTTTAACGAATTTCAAACTGTCAACATCTTTTTCAATAATATTACTACAAAACCTTCAAATTCTAGCTCCTCTCTTCCAATAGGAAAAATGACCCTGAAATTTAAGCATAATTTCATCAATAATTATCCCATTAACATAAAAAAAATTAAAGAAAAATACTACCTTTATAAAAAAAATATTTATCAAAATTCAGAAAAAGATTATAACTTTATACTCACCTGTTTATATGATTTGAAATTGGAATCCCGAGGGATTCGGTTTAATTTCTTTCTGGTGTATATAGATATCAAATTTTCAATAAATAAGATTGAACGCATAAAAATTATTGAGAAAATTCGACAAAATCAAAAAAGATTTAGAGAGATAAAGACAGAGAGGAGAGAGAAAATGTGAAGCGAATAGCAAGGGGCGCACGGTCTTTAGCATTAATGCCAAAATTAGTATGTACTTCGTAATTTAACTAAGTTAAAAGACAAAGATTAAGTAGAGGTGTGAATTCAGGTAAACGATCGAGTTTGGGTTGGGTTTGTGGGGTCGGGTCAATTCGGGTTAGGTCATATCGGGTTAACACCGTAATCTATGCGGGTCAGGATCGGGTCGGGTCATACTTGAGTCGGGTCGTACATCTTATCGGGTTTGGTTGGATTACATTCGGGTCGGTTGAATAATCGGTCGGGTTTAATTCGGGTTTTCACGGGTTAACACGAGTTAGGGTCATTCTCGGGTTCGAGTCGGGTTTGGTTCAAGTCAATAATTTGTGGGTTATAATCAGGTCGGGTCATTCTCGGGTTCGGTTCAAGTCAATAATTTGCGGGTTATAATCAAGTCGGGTCTCGGGTGCGAGTCGGGTTCGTTTCAAATCAATAATTTGCGGGTTATAATCAGGTCGGGTCATTTCTAAGTTGAGTCATTCTCGGGTTCAAGTCGTGTTTGGTTCAAGTCAATAATTTGCGGGTTATAATCAGGTCGGGTCATTCTCGGGTTCGAGTCATTTTCGGGTTCAAGTCAGCAAGTCAATAATTTGCGGGTTATAATCAGGTCCGGTCATTTCCAAGTTGGGTCATGTTCGGGTTCAGGTATCAAATATTAGGTTAATCTGGGTTGCAGGTTGATTTTAGGTCCGGTCATATCGGGTTCGGGTACATTTTTTGAGTCGGTTTGTTAACAGTTTATGTAATGACGTTCACATTTAATCATTATCAATTTCTTCATTTATTGTAAGAGAAGTAATTTCGGAGAAGTTTAAATTCGAGCTAATAAGTTCACGTAAGTTTAGATAAGATATATATACATTATAAGTTCATATTAATTCCAGTAAGATAGGTTTAGTTTAGATTTTTAGAAGATAAGTTCAAATCCTATTCTGATCTATTCACATTGTTTCCACTCATTTTAGGGATAACAATTTCAGATAAGTTCATGTTCGATATGACATGTTCATTAAGTTTAGATAAAACACAATAATTATAAGTTATAAATTCGAATAAAATAGGTATAGTTTGAATAAGTTAAAATAAGTTCAGTCCCTATTGTATTCACAATGCTTCTACTCATTTTAGGGAAAACAATTTTAGATAAGTTCATATTTGAGTTAATAAGTTCAAATGAGTTTAGATAAGACAAAACAAATTCCAACTTAAATAAGATATCCGAGTTACTTTACTTGAAATTATCTAAACTTTTTTTTTTCTAAACTTATTTTATTTGAAATCATCTAAACTTTTTTTATTTTTTATAAGTTCATATCCGAGTTAAGGTTTTTTTTAATGGCAATATATATTTTTTTTTGAAACATTTGAATGGCATGATTTAAAACGTTTAAATAAGATTAAATAGCCAAGTGAATAATAAAATTAGAAAAAAAAAGACCAATAAAAGGAGCTTAAATAGTTATATGGTAGTTTCTTCAAAAAAAAAATAGTTATATGAAAGTTGAAAATAAATTAAGAAAAAAAAAACCCCAATTTGGGTTGAATTTGGGTCGGGTCAGTAACAAGTCGTGTTAATTTTAGGTCGGTTTAGCAACAAATGGGGTTGAATTTCGGGTCGGGTTAGTAATAGGTCAGGTAAAATTTGGGTCAGGTTAGTAATAGGTTGAGTTAAATTCGGGTCGATTTAGTAACAGGTCGGGTTGAATTCGGGTCCGGTTAGTAACAGGTCGGGTTAAATTCGGGTTTTGACGGGTTAAAACGGATTTGGGTCAATCTCGGTTCAGGTCGGGTTTGGTTCAGGTCAATAATTTGCGGGTCATATTCAGGTTGGGTCATCTCCAAGTCGGTTCATTTTCGGGTTTGGGTCTCAAATACTTGGGTTAACTTGGGTTTAGGGTTGGTTTCAGGTTAGGTCATCATTTTTCCGGGTTCAAATGGATCGCTTAATAATCAGGTTCAGATCGGTATTTCGGGTCGGGTTAGCTTTTGACAGCTCTAAGATTAAGGGGTAAAAATCGATTTCATTTTATACGAGCTCCCTAACTTACATGGAAGGTGATTAAGGATTTTGCTCCTACCAATCGGAATGCGCCACGTGGACCAATCAGGTCCTGCCAAGTGTCCCCCAGTTGGAACAGTCAGGGCTTCCCACGTGGCACGCGCTTATTCGTCCACCTTGGACCTGTTATGTCAAGACATGTGGCATACTCCATGCCTAATGGAGAAACCGGCCACCCAGGCCCAACTTCCGAGGGAAGCCCAATCGGCCCTAGGTTTACCTAAACCTAGGATGGGCACGTTTTCCAAGGTTATAAATACCTCCCTTAATCCTCATTAAGGGGGAGGAGAGAAACATTACGGAAAAAACACATTAATTACACACAGTAATAACCGGCTGATCTCGCTAACAAAGCAGATTACCTACATTAAACACTCTCACCTAGAGAGACCAAATCACTTTAATTTCCGTATTAATTACTCCTTAATCAGGTACTAACTTGACCGTTGGAGGCGGAGCTCCCAGGAGTCTCCGTTATTTTGCAGGTACAGACGTCCGGTTCCAGTCTCGGAATTGTAACTCTCCCGCAGGACATCAGAAAACCCCGAAACATCTGGCGCCGTCTGTGGGGAGAGTACTTCTGAGATGGCATCCAAGTCTGTACCGACTCCTGAAGAGAGGCGTCCCCTAGACGACCCTCAAGTTCAGTCGGACCATGATACCGAAAGTGAATTTGAAGTTGAAGCTCATACAGCTTCAGACGGGACCCTAAGGGCCCGTCATACCCGTCATACCGAAAGGAGGGAACGGGAGCATCTTCAAACAGGAAGCGAGCCAGCAGGCGCACCGCCTGTTCGGCAACAGCCGACTGATGGGTCTGCTCCCATCACAAGGAACGAACTCATGACCTTCATGAGGGACTTCAAGGGAGAGATTCAAGAATTGATCAACAAGAAGCCGCCTGCTCCAGTCAAGGAGCAGTCGGCCAAGAAACCCTCCATTTCACTGAAGAGGAAGCCAGTTCAAGGGCGAGAGGCGACTCCTCATCCTAAATCTAGGAAGCGGGAGCCACCTGCCCTTGATTTCACAAAATTCCGTTATCCTACAGGAAATAGGAAACCTGTTCGTCATATTCAGGCGGACGGGTCGAAGCAAACATTCACAGATGCTCGGCTACTGCTAGAGCAGAAGAAGAGTGACCGATTGTCAGAGTCGGCCTCTACTTCAAACTTTCAAGACAGTTTGCGAAATGCCTCGATGACGCATACTCAGTCGTACCATGAGAGTCAGTCAGGCGGCACCTCCCGTCAGTCCGGCTTTCATAGTGACCAGGCGGTCCCAAACTTACCATTTGTGCCGCAACAACAGTATTTTTTGCATCCACCTCCGTTTGGTGGACCTGCAGCAAAAAACGTCCAACCTATGGACTGGCAGCTACGGTTGTTTAGACTTGGTGAACAGCCGTCGGCCTTCTCCAAGGAAATTACTGAAGCCGCTCAGCCGGCCAAAGTGAAAAATGTACTAGTAGGTGCCTATGACGGCACTACTAACCCAGAAGACCATCTGATGGCATTCACCAACCTGATGTACCTTCAAGGGTTGGATGATCCCACTTGGTGCAAGTGTTTCCCAGCGACTCTCAAAGGAATCGCACAACAATGGTTCGGCAACCTGCCGACTGGTTGTGTAAATAGCTTCAGGACGCTTGCTTACTTATTTACCTCCAACTTCGCCATGAACATCCCTGCGAAGAAAACGACCCTTGATTTGGGAACAATTCATCAGGGCGAGAAGGAGGGGCTTCGTTCTTACATCAGGCGGTTTAACCTGATGAGAATACAGATTCAAGGGTTACCGGATGAGGTAGCTTATACTGACTTTTTCAGAGGTCTCAAAGACGGGTCTACCTTCAAATTTGATTTGGTTCGAAAAAGGGTGGCGACTCTTCAAGAGGCCTTGATTGAAGCAGAAGCCTATATACAGGCGACTGATCTTTGTACGATAAAACAGTCGGACGGGAAAAGGTTCGACAAAAGAGAAGGACGACAGAAACAGTCGTCAAACAAAGATGAGAAAAGAAAAGAGGTCTGGGCGGCTGATTTCTCTAAACAGTCGGCCCAGAAAAAGAAAAAAGAATTCAAACCATACTCCCCAAAGTATGCGTTTAACAAGGATAACCAGTTTATCCTAAAAGAAATCAAGGGACGGATCTCAATTGAGAAGCCGGTCCCCATGAAGGGTTCTGCAAACAACCGGAACCAAGATAAATTCTGTGCTTATCATGATGATGTTGGTCATCACACCAATGACTGCATCAGTCTCATGCGGTACCTAGACCGCCTGGCTGAGCAAGGTGATCTTGACACTTATGTCAAGAAATCCGCGGGGAACACTTCCTCAAAAAAGCAGTCGGCCAAAAAGAATCAACAGGCCGACAGCTCCGATACAGATGATGCAGTCGTCTAC